CCACCTTACCTATTTCTGTAATGTTTTCCGGTTTTGAAGGGTAAGGGCGCTGGTGAAATCACACAAGGGACTTGTCAACTTATGTCTCAGGGTGACGGGTGCAGTGGCAGTGTACCTCAGATCTTTGCGACTTAAAGCTCAAAATGGCACTGCAACTGCCCAAGGTTTACGGTTCGTTCGTTCCGCCACTTAGTATCATGAAAAAAAAAATCGTGACAGATCTTGCACAGATTCTTATCAAGGGTTTTTAGCGATGTATTGTCACGAAGATTATGATTGGTTGCTGGTTTATAAGCCGAAAACAAAATGACAAATCAAACCCTTGTAATAAGGCCACTTTGCATATGGAATTGATTTAAATCCTTTCAAAAACTTAGGTACAAATATTGTGTCGGGTAAATCTTTGCTCGGAGACCCAAGAGCCGGAAACTTGTGCAACGTATTGACATAAGAATAAAAGTTTGCGAGCACTCGTATTCGATGCCGTTGTCTCAATATTTAATCTAAAAGTAGAAAAATATAAAAATCCAGAGAAAGAGTATACTTAGGAAATGAAACTGTTTTTCCGGATTTAAATCGCGTATATTTGTTTTTTCAGACAAACCGACGTTTCGGGCCCTTTACAGGTCCCATGGTCACAGTCAACCGTGACCGTATACGCGATTTAAATCCGGAAAAACAGTTTCATTTCCTATGTGTAACAATCGCGAAAACCTAAGAGCTCGAAGAGTATACTTGTTCACAGATCTGAAAAGTAATTTCCATGTTCACAGGACTCTATCCGAGGCGAGATCTGTAGGTGGTACTCTACCAGCGAGTACTGGAAGAGCTGCTTCTTCCACGAGATTGACTCATCAGGTGAGTTATGATTTTTCTGCCACTTTTTAATCCTATGTTCTAATAATATGTTTATTGAAATAATTTATATATCCGAAACATATATAGGTTTTGGAGCAATACATGTCTTAGAGACAATAAAAAAATACTTAAGTTTAACTCTGTCACATCCAATTTCTCAATAGGCAATTGGACAATCAGAAAAAGAACTAAAATGTTGTTAGATTTTTTTAAATGTCACATGCACCCTTTCAACTGACGGCGGCAGCATAGGTAAGCAAAGTTACGTCGCCGTTTTCACCTTTCGTGTATTATCTTGTGTTTCTTCTTAATTCGTTTAGTCACTTTAAGGGCTCCTTCAAACTAGTCGCTTATAGAAGCGCAGCAGTGGCGTCACTGTGGCGCTACAGCCGCGCCACTACTAATTTTCATACAATATTTAGAAGCGCAGTTGGAGCGCTACTTTTGTAGTCACAATTAGTGACCTAAAGATTACTGAATGACAGATTCGCACGCGGCTGCCGTGCAACTGCAGAGCTTCTACAAGCGCTTAATTTGAAGACGCCCTAAAACTAAAAACTATAAAGTAATTGTGTTGAAAAAAGGAATAAATCGATACTTAAAATTCTTGCAAGTGATTAATTAGTATGTTTACCTATAAATGGCGTCATGCGTTCTGAGTTGAAGTCTAGTGCCGTTTGCGTGGCATTTTTCTTTTAAAATAGCATTTAAACATATTTTCAGGCACTCGAAAAGCTTTATTTAGACAAAATTTTATCTTGTATTTATCCATAATGGTTAATTGTAATTTATTTCTGAAAAGTTGTCCGATTGTCTATATTCTCTATGACCAAAGCACTAAGAGTTTTTCCATTTTATTTATGCAATATTGACGCACCCTTTACAAGCACTCTAATAAGCACACTTGCATGCAGGAGGCCAACACGATGGCTGAGCGCGACCTGGGTTCCACCTTCCTGTTGCCCCATGTGCACCTTTATAAGCCGGACCTTGTATGTATTGCTTACACTTTTATACCCTACCACCCACCTGACTAATCTCTTTAAACTACGTACAAGTATGGTGACGCGCCGTGTTTCTTCTCACGACACCTCAATTAACATTGACGCAGTGTTTCTATCTCTGAAAGTCTAAAGAAGCCTTCAAATTAAATGCTTATAGAAGCTCTGCAGTGGTGCCACTGTACTTCTATAATTAAGCATCTAATTTGAAGGTGGTATGGTTGAAGTTATACTTATTATACTTGGGATATATTATTTGCACCGTCTTATCGTTTTATCTTTAGAGTACAATGGGACAAAAAGTGAGTCGTGTTGGTAACGCACGTGCCATCTGCAAAGTGCAAACAACTATTTTAAACACTTTTACGCATTGGCACTTAATTTCAAACTTAGTGTAGACTTGAAAAATTCGTGGAATTACATCTATTTGCTACTATCTATTATTGAAATCGGTTACCGGAAAGTAAGCGAAACCGGATTCATCCCCTAGTTTGCCACTCTTAGAGGTGGAATATTTTTTTTCAAATATAAATGAGACCAATACCTACCGAGATATCCTCATTCCAACAAAAAATAATCATCAAAATTGGTTCACAAATCGTTTCAGTAATTGCGTACACACAAAACTTACACACAGTTGTAGCTTAGTTGGTACTGGCACTTAAGCAGATTCATTACGTTAACATTACAAATATACGCAATTTATATCAAATTATAAAGCATAATAAAATGTTCATTTCTGCCTTACAGACTAGCGACGTATCCGAATTCGATTCCCTGTGAAGTAAAACCAGTCAAAAGAAGCTATGAAGAAAGTAATAATGTAACGTGTATATGCAAATAAATAAATAAATAAATAATAGGCACACGTCGTTTCTGTAAAATTCTTCAAAAATCAATTTGTGGCATGTTTATTACCACCAAAGTGAACACTTAATTTATTTCTAATTATTTATTCTACTTTATAAGTAAATACTTTCCTATAAACGTTATCATATTACTTAAAATTAATAATTGTTGAAGATGAAATTTCCTTGTAATACTGATGGCGCTTTAAATATAATTAAGCAAGTAAGTAGTTCAATTTCTATAATAACAGTACTTTCAGAAGCTTCAAATTATTAATTTTACACTTTAATTTTTAAATAATAATATGCATGATCGACGCGGCCATTTTGAAATTCACACCAGCGCCATCTAGCGGAGTTAAAAGGAAACGTTCAGCATTAATCCTGTCTTTGAATTTTTACATTTTTCTAAATGAAATTGTAAAAATGCCATAATAAATGTAAGCATTTCTTTTAGATTATAAGTTTTGTGAGAATGATTTGAATAAGAAATCATTGTAAATTTCAAATAATTAATTACTCTATTTATTTCCCGATTTCTTATTTGAAGAGTTTTCATATAATATACCTATTATGCGTTCACTGTGTTTTGAAAAATATTGTGCAAAGTAAAGTGCCAATAGTCATTTTTGAATTATTCTTTTGTAAAATAGGTAATAAAAATATACTTTTATGAAAAATAGAGACCTTTTGATGTGACAATGTGTTAGATGATGGGAAAAGTGTTTTAAAAATGTTTTAAAATTATGTCATTACAATGTGAAGGTAACTTATATTAGAAGCGTTCGTTTTATTTTTATACGTTTTGTTAATTAAATTGCATTGATTGAAATTTTTGCTTTTTTATTTCATGTCAGCTATTTTCTTCAATTTTTGTCGTCGAAACTGAAAAAAAATTAAAATCCTCGTTTAGGATTTCAAGTAAAATCAACGCTATCTAACGTGTTTTGAAGGAACTACAACATGCTCAAGATGGTTGTAGCTGTCTGTTGCATTAATTTTATTACTTATTTAGATTGAAATGTCTTATTTATTAAAAAAATAAATTACATTGGATCATTTCAAGATGACACGATTAGATTGGAAAAAGGCATAGACTTGGCTTATATTTATTTCCTCATTTCCTGAGACACAAAAGCAGACAAAAAACGTAAAAATGCCACCGTTATAAGTAGACGTGCTGTTTACAATAATCATCATCTGCAAGCAGCCTCTACTCTATCCGTTTTCGGATATAGGCCTCCTCCATAATCTCTCCATTTATGTCGCCCCCACGTGTCACATGCATCCAGTTGCGGGCCGCGAAAATTTTAATGCCATCCACCCAACGAAGTGGCGGACGACCTCTGCCCCGCGTGTTAGCTTTCACTCACAGCTCACCCTTTTAGAGCTGTCTAGAAGTAAAGTCAATAATCTTAAAAGAAAAAGCAATATACTGTTGAGCAATAAAAATTGTAAATACTATCTTCTTCTTCCTGTTCTATAAATACTATCTATTATGCTAAAAACGTACGTGTTAATGTGTGTAAGTGTACGTAGATACGCGAGCGCGAGCGTGTGTATGTAAGTAAGTGGGAGAGAGTGTGTGTGTGTGTGTGCTGTAGTACAGCTCTCCAGGCCCTCACCTTCTCAGAGTAGTCTTAAGTAAAGTCAATAATCTTAAAAGAAAAAGCAATTGACTGTTGAGCAATAAAAATTGTAAATACTCTTCTTCTTCTTCTTCTTCTTGTACTATAAATACTATCTATTATGCTAAAAACGTACGTGTTAATGTGTGTAAGTGTACGTAGATGCGCGAGCACGAGCGTGTGTATGTAAGTGTGAGAGAGTGTGTGTGGTGCGTGTGTGTGCGTGTGTAAATTCATTGTACATACATCATACATTAGAAAAATATAGTAGAATTTCCACCAGAAGCACTACTTGTTCGTTCCGTCACTTACTTGACATCATAAAAAATATTTTAAAGATATTTTAGAGGTTATTTATTAATACCTTACGTCGTTTGGCTAATTCTTTCACCACGACGGCAAGCATAGTGTCATGTCATCGATACAATAAGAAGAAAGATAATAAAGGGATAATAAAGATAATAAAACAGATTATTAAATATATGACATAGCGTTTTTATTAAATATTCAATAATTTAGTTAATCGATAGAATATTCAGCAATATTAAAAAGACAACGGGAAACAATTGAAAAAGGGCAACCTAATCCACTTTTAAACTTAATACAATAGCATAGCAACGTTTTAGCAATAATCTTAACACGAATACCCTTAAGCACACTGACTTAATAAGTAATAATAATAACTATTATTTTTAGTTACAATAAGCATTTTTACCCCAAAAGCTATGTCAAAGGGATTTACAATCACTGATATGAACTATTGCTTATCAGCGTTGTTGTCTACTAATCGTTGACGATCATCAATGATTATTCAAATGTTCATCAACTTTAATTCAAGTTTTCGTCAACGTCAACTCGAATTCACTCATGACGTTGTTTATTAGAGATTTTATTCTCAATAATTCCTGAGCTGCACGTGAATTTAGCAAAGCCAGTCCATGCCAATTTTACAAATATTAACCTTCAGTCTTGAAACTTAAAGATGCACATCATTCTTCATTTATAGTCCTCCACCCATGGACCTTAAGTAACTAATTTTAATGTTATTTTATGTATAAATGAGTAAATGGAAGTGAGCAAGCCCTTGAAAAATATGATTACACTTGTCTACGGCAATATCTAGGGCCAATCAAAACATTGACGTTTTAGTTCATCATGAAATTACATTTAAATGAAAATAGGGCAAAAAAATTCCGGTATACTAAATTACCGAATAAGGTCAAGCAAAGAGTTTATATAGGTAATACCGACTTTAAGAAAGATGCAGATCACTTTGCACAAACAAAATTTAAATTGGCCCTAAGTACTGAACCACTAACTTACCCTATATTTCGTATTTCTACCTATCTACTTATGTAAGAAATTGTGCAAGAATCAAAACTGATTTGATCTCTTTCTATCCTATATCTTACTTTATTAGACGTAAGCAGGACTGCAACTTTGAGTATTTTGCCTAAGTATAATTAATTTCTGGATCCAATATCAAAACTGACAATGTCAGGCTACTTATGTATTACCTTACAAAATAGTTAATAGTTCTACGAATGTTAACATCATGTTGAGTAAGCAATTGATTCCAAATCTAAATTAAGCTAAGCGCTATCTAAGATGTCTATAGGTCGTACCAACATGGACCAGTGTCGTACAAAAACCGACAGTTCAGTACAAAAGTGAGTACCAAAATATTATCGAAATATCCAAAACATTATTTCGATACCTCACACGTCAGTTGTTGTAAGTCAAAATACCATTTATTACTTTTTAATTTAAATATATCCTTTTTTATGTATATTTTCACATTTAAAAGTAAAGAAATCACTTATTGTTGTGTTTACTTTCTAACATGGAATGTATTATACACATAAAAAAGATATATTTAAGTTAAAAAGCCAAAAATGGTATTTTGACTTACAACAAATTACGTGTGAGGTATCGATTTAAATTACACGATAATTACAAGAGCTATGTCTTTTCTATATTAATCGTGTAATTTAGGGCTCATCTAAAGTACTTTATCGTAAAAATTTGCTAGAGAAAACATCAACGTCAATTCACTACTAATGTTGGTTGATTAGACAATGATGACTCAAAAATCGGTTAAAGGGTTGTCAATTTTGCGTCGGACAATTGTCGTCGTTCGTCGTGTCGTCGTGTCATCGTATGTATTTCGTATTAAGAAATAATTATGATTTTTATGACTTCAAAGACAAAACTTGTAGTGTCAATTTCATTTCAATCTACCACTAGATGTGCTAACAAGGTGCTATGATATTTTTGTCATTTTAAGATAGTACATCATTATAAAAATTAATTATGTTGAAACTTATAACATTGTAAATATTATGTTTTATTCGTACATTATTATCGTACCCGAGGTTGTATCAATCTGATTTACAGTAGCGATAGTTCTATTCATGTATTTACTAAAATAAACCAATTTGCTGTCACAAAACTAATATTGTATTCTTTTAACTTATCTCAATAAAGCGAGGCAAAGAACATTATTTTTAGATCAGTTAAAATTTGTTTACTTTTAGTTAAAAGCAGAAAATCGGCGTCCAAAGCCTCAAATGTTTTCTTAAACCTTCTTAAACAAATGTCGTATTTAAAGTTTTTAGTGCTTCGCCAAAAGCGTCAAGTTCTAGCTGTAAGAACTATAGAACATTGAGATTAAATGTATAAGAAAAACATAAGTGAAAGTTTTGGTAAGTAAAATCAAACTTTTGGGAAAATATACTTAAATGATTACTTTTTAGCACTTCCGTCAAGGCTTGATGGTGGTGATTTCGCCAGCATTGTCAGTGATCTGTAAAAAAAATGAATATTGGTACAATCGATCCAGAAGTATCAGATTGCGTTGGATTTAAGTATTTCAAGATTTTTGCAGGTTTTCCAGCTGAAGTTTTTTAAACATTAGAAGTATCAGTACAATTTCCAACATAACAGTTTTGTCGTAAACGTTTTACGACGTTAAGTTACGTACGTTACGTTACGTTTTATCGTAAACGTCATAATCATAAATAAAGCATCGTTATTCACACCTTCGAGTCTCTACAAGAAACTATTACCTCAGTAATAATTTAATATAATTCAGAAATTATATAATCGTTAATAACCTACAAAAATCTTTGTGCTTAATTAATACCATCAACTTTACCTATACATGCTGAAAAATCAATTCAATAACAACTTATAAAATACCACACATAAACAAAATTAGGTAAAAGCAACACAGGATTTTGAAATAAAATATGGTAATTACTTTTGTGCGTGATGACGATAAAGCAAATAATTTTTTAAAAAGCTGTAGAATATAAAACAGTGTACCTATTTGTTGTTTTCTTGCGTTTCGTGACTTAAGCAATAGCAGCTGTAAGTATAATAATTTAATTTTAGTTTTTTTAGGTACATCATCAATAATTAGTAATCTTAGAAAATTGAATATTCGTTGACGATTTAATATAATAAGCAACTTAAATATGATGATAGAACATGATAAGAAATATAGATACGTAGATAAAATTGGCGCAATGTTATTAAATTAGGTGTAGATTTAGATGTTAATATGAAATATACGAAATACATACAGCAGAACTTAGCAAAACAACGGGTGGACATAAATGATAAAATAAAGATACATACATACTATCATCCATCAAAGATAATAATTAATAAGACAAGTAATGCAAAGTTGTAGGGTCGTATGTATAAAAAAGTTAAGGTTTTCATCACTATATTCTCGTGCTATATTGAAATAACCTTTGTCAACTGCAGTACTCACATATTGATATAAAAATATCAAGAGTACTGTATTTGAGGCACTCTCGTTCAAACAACTATAAACACGTCTACTACTTAATGTCATTTTTTAACACCGAGCAAACGCTTTAATTCTATAATAGAAGGCGCATGTGACAACCCGCGTAGTTCAACTCGAGTGCACCGCGAGATTTTGCAAATGTGTGCGCACACATGCAAGCCAACAACAAACTACTCTATTTTTCTTATTGTACTAGATGTTATCAGTCCTATCACCCCCTATTGTACTCCAGTTTATTTTTCTAACATTTTTGTTTTTAAGGACATTTTTAATCATTTTCGCTGCAATACGTTTGACGTCACAGATTGTTCACAACCTAAACAATGATCGTAAGCATTTGACAGTCTTCTTGGACCTGCCACAAATGGTCACACTGTTCTCAATACCAATGTGACATTGACATTGACAAGAGGTCTCTTGTCAAAACGTTCCTTTGCAACTTTCATTATTTCTCATTTAAATATTGTCTAAATATTTTTGTCACACAGAATGTTTTATTTTTGCTTTATGTGATTACTGTTTAATTGATTACTTCATTAGGTATTTTACAGCTTTAATGTTTTATGTGTGTATTATAAAATAACCAATACTTGAGGCAGGTAAACATTCAATCATGCTTAAAATGAAACGTACGTACAAGAACGTTATTTAATCTATGGTCGAACTGAATCAATTGCGTTGTGTTCTTGCATCTACTCTAAAATACTTTTTTTAAATTTTTTTTTATTCCCGACTTCTAAAAATATACAAAAATATATTGATAACTAGGCATAAACTAAAACGAAAAATTACACTAGCAAAGTCCATGAACGGCTCTTCGTCGTTATTGCGACAGCTTTCGCCGTCCTCCTTTATTTATCAATTCTTAATATGAATAGATCTTTTACTGTTTTAAGTGGAGTTAAAATAAAAACAAAGTATTAACTAGCACATTTCTTGATTTTAACAAATTGTAATTTGTTTTCATTTGTTAAAAGTTTAAGATTACAGCTTGTACACTGAATCCATATTAACTAGGCTTAGATAAATAGATCAATGACCCTTCCATCACCTCCGCTGCTTACTTACGCTAGCGCTTTGTTTTGCTAATAATGCCATTGACCTAAAATGTTAATGGCAAATGCAGACTTATAAGTCTTTAGAGCTATATGTATATTAATTTAAGTATCTTCATTTTTGTATGAAAGTAAAATCCGATGAATTTAATTAAAGTCATGAAAACAAAATACGTTGTTTGTGATGTCAGTAATATAGTGCTGTCTATTTTCTTTTAATTACTAGGGTACTGTAAATTCCTGACAGTTTGCAGAATTTATGATTAAAAGTAATATTAACCAAGTAGTTAACGTGGAAGAAATAACTTTTCCTGGATGGTTTTGAGCATTCACGATTTAAATTAATTGCAATATTAATAATTTTCAACGAGCTTTTACAATGCCCAATTTTGCCTTTGACTTTGTCATATACCACAAAGAAAACTGCAAAACTTCAAAGTATATCGTCGCTTTACTTTCTGAAACTCGTGTCTTAAAGCACAAAGTTACTGAAATGCAAAAAAATGGATTGTATATATAAATTTTGCAGGTTGATTTCACATAAACATTTCCTTCATATTCACACATTGACTTTTACATATTCTTAAAGCATCCAAATTAGAAATTTGATAAGAAATTTAAAATAAGTACAAAGTTTGCCATCTCCTGAATAATCAAGCTTTATAAGATACGAGTTTGACAAAGTAAGGCATCGATATTTAGAAATATCAATTGATTGATTTTGTGTTCGCAATTACTGACCTTCGTTGAGCGGGAATAGGCGGTGAGGATTGTGCCGCAGGAGGTAGAGAGGCAGGACAGCTGCCGGATAATTGTGGTTGGTCATCCTCGTCTTCTTTTCTGTCTCCTGTCATTTAAATTGTTATTAAAGAAACATGCTCAAAGAAGAAAACAATGACCGCATGAGCTTCCAATGACAGTGAATGATAATAGAAAAAATTCAGAAAACAGCCATTATAATAAAAATGTCAATACAATATTTCATTTGCAAAAAAGGATTACGACTGGGTGTTTTAAAACAGATGGGAATAATTAGATATAGGGGATATACAATAAATGAACAATTAATTTGCTGTTACATAGATTGCTACTATATTACCGTTATTGTGGATATTTTTAAATTATAACGCTGGTAATAGGTGGGGGTAGTGGGGTATAAATATGATCAACCGTTTTGAGCAAGCTCATTTCTCCGGGTCCGAGTGTCGAACAATCAATTTCATTGAGGATGACTCGTAGAGTAGCAAAATACGTATCGGGTATTTTTGGTGATGGTGTTTGTGACTGTAGTTGAGCTTGTGTTATTTATTTTATTTAAGGCATATCAAATACTCAACACGCAGCTATTTTACACTACTTAATCTACACAGGGTTCGCGGGGTTGAAAATTAATTTACTTCCATATTTATTTTAATATGGATTTTTAACTACTAAAAAATGAACGTTGTGAGGAAACGTTCAGGCGCAGACTGAAGAACCTTTTATTGGAAAAGTCCCTTTACTCAGTAACAGAGTATATTCAAAGTGCTAAATAAACAATTAAATTAGTATATTTATTAACGAATTTGACATTCACCGCATTATTATACTTTAATATATATTTATTGGTTATTAAGAATCCATATTGACATTTCCTGTATACACTTCACATTGTTAGTTTAATTCAATTATTTTTATTATTTTCATTAATTATGTTGTATTTCTATATGTACAATATTGTGTACTTATCACTTACTATTATAAATATAATTATTTCTTCATTATTTTGTAAACTTTTCGAAGAGTAGTATAAAATGACATGTACAAATTCAATTGTATGAAATTCATAATGTTGAAAGAAATAAACCAAACTAACAATTAGGTTCACGTGGTTCATTTTAAAATCACGCTTGGTAGGTTGGTACGTTTATGCTGACATTGAACGTTACGTTTTTGTTCTTCTGTTATGCTATATGGCAGGGTTTCTTAAACTGTGGTCCATGAACCCCTAAGGAGTCCGTGTAATGAATGCCGCGGGTCCTAGCCTACCTAACATAATGGATCAGTAACCGTCACACTAAGTATTCATAAGTAATTACGTAAAGTTTAATCGCAAACAATATAAGCAAGTAAAAGCTAAACCTAATTTTTTATCTTTTCGGGAATGGTCCGTGAGCCCATTCACATTTTGAGAATGCTCCATGAATAGAAAAAGGTAAAAAAAACCCTGTCATATGGAAATCTGGGAGGACCATGCTCTATACTGTAAGCGCATCTAAATCATCAATGTAGAGCATCAAAAACATACCCCGCACGATAGGTGTATCTCCAATGTAGAAAGTCGGAGCCGGCGATTCAACAATAGCCTCTTTGACGGATCCATCGCCGCTGACGGCACTTAGGGTGTCCGTGCTATCGAACATGATGGTACGTTCTTTCGCTTTCGGGACACGACCATCCAGTTCCTGGAACAGGGAGAATTTTAGCTGGAAATTCAGATGTCCTAAATGTTAGGGCGCCTTCGAATTAGATGCTTTATAGAAGTGCTACAGTGGTGCGGTAGCCGCGCGGACGTTTTACTTCACTACTTGTGACTGCCTGCAAAAGAGGCGCGCGCGTGTCACGACGTCTAGATATTGTGTGACAATTAGTAGTGGCGCGACTGATGCGCCACAGATGCGCCACTGCGGCGCTATTATAAGCGTCTAATTTATAGTAATAAGAATTTGTAATCTACTTCCACAACGCTTACTTTCTTATGATACTCAGCGATTCCGAGAAACTCAAATCATTAGGCTACCATGTTTATGTTCTTTAAGTAACAGTAGAGCTCCTTGTGAAAGAGTTCATCAAGGGAAGTACTGCCACCTTACGTATTTCTGCCGCCAAGCAGTTATGAGCATTACTGCGTTCCGATTTTGAAGGGTAAGGGTGCTGGCGAAATTACAGCCACATGGGACTAGTTAACTTATGCCTCAGGGTGACGGGCGCAGTGTCAGTGCCCCTCAGATCTTTGCGATTTAAAGCTCTGAGTGGCACTGCAACTGTTATGGACAGGCGTGTAGCTTACTATCAGACATGACTTGTTCGTCCCGTCACTTGATTTTATAATAAAAAAAATATTTTATGTTTAGACATTTTACGTATACAATAACATTGAACAACATTATTGGTCAATAATAAAAATAATAATGGAATACTATCAGGGCGCCTTTTTTTTTTTTTTTTTTTATTTTTTTATTTTTTTTTTTATACCTGACAGGCAAATGACTCCACTCCACCTGATGTTAAGTGGAAAGTGGTATCCAAACTTCCTTCTTCCCTGCCTTCAAATTAGACGCTTATAGAGGCTGCAGTGACGTGACTGTTGCGTGGTAGCCGCGTGTTACGTATTACTTCACTAATGACAGTGGTGCTGCGAATATGCTTTTAGATATTGTACAGACACGCCACTGCTACACTTTTATAAGCGTCTAATTTGAAAGCACCCTTAGCTTCAGAGAACCCTTTGCTTAATACAACATTTTCTTAACGTGAATTTAGCTGCTTGTGTTAAATAACCCGACATAGTAAAACGTTAAAAACATTATTAAACTCTCACCAATCTCTCAGTATCAGAATCAGGTTCCTGGACCTCGTAGTCGTGTGAATAATGTTCACTAGACTGATGTTCAAGGCTCTCCATCTGCACGGCCGTCACTGGGTCTAAGGTGTCCAGAGAAGACACCATGGTGTTCGACCCTGGGGGACGCAGCGCTGTTAACTATGTGGTTAGTCCAGGCTTGGCAGGATTGCTTACAAATTATATTTTAAATAGTACAATGTTAAATTAAGAGCTAATTTTGAAAATATTTACCTCTATAACAGCGTTCTGTGTAATAAGTATAAGTATTAAGATCTTGATATAGAAACGAGATGCCATTTTGTTAATTTTAAATGGTAAATAAAATTACTTGTATATTTCACAGTTTAGATATAGTTTATAAATTCTTTACTTAATAAACTTTGCGTTTAAAACGAACTCTGGTACTTTTACCTGTAGTTTTTGCCTGTTTTTAAAAGATTTTCTAGGCGGTTTTCGTACTTATAATAAATACATTGCACTACTATTACAAAAGTATTGTAACTCAAAATATGTGAAATTTAAGATTATACTATGGTTGAACGTAAAATTTGAACTTCTAACACGTCCAAACAAAAGTCATTAGAATATTGTGAGAAATAATTAAAAGATTATCTACTTAACTCAAATTTTTTGTGAACTAGTTCTGGACAAAACAGACCTTAATCAAAGGTATGAAATTATTGTGTTCCTTTTATTTTTAAATATATTTGGCAAGTAGGAAATTGTTTAGATATCGGTAACAAACTATACATACATTTTCATAAACTTTTACGTGAAGTGAATAATTTGTTTGTCATCGATTCTGAAAAAATACACTATTGTACGTATGGCGCACTATAAGTTTCCGGAATGAATAAGTTAATGATATTATGATATAATGAATGAATAGTTTCTCAAAATATTCTCCATTAGCGTTAATGCATTTTTTCGTACGAATGAACCAATTTTGAAAACATTTGTGCCATTCCTCCGTGACAATCTCTGAAACATATTTTTTATACTCTTCGACAGCCTCTTCTGGTGATGAAAATCGTTGACCACGTAACTGGTTCTTAATTTTTGGAAATAAATAAAAGTCACAAGGTGCCAGGTCGGGACTGTACGGGGATGGCTCATAAGGTCAACGTTGTTCACCTTCAAAAATTCATTTGTCTGTCTGACCGTGTGAGAACTGGCATTATCGTGGTGCAAGATGACACGGCGTTTAAGGTTATTTTTACGGAGCTTGTCAATAACTTCCAGTTAACAAATGGTCGTGTACCAATCACTATTCACGGTACAACGATTATCCAAAGCAATAGTAGCCATGTGTCCAGTTTTATTAAAAAAAGAAGCAATCATCCGCTTAGAGGCACTTTGCTCGCGCGCCAATTTGGTTGGTTTCGGCTCATCTCGAAAGACCCATACGCTCGATTGCTGCTTTGTTTTGGGATCGTAACTATAAATCCATGTTTCATCACCTGTTACTTTGTCCCACACCAAATTTGACGCCCCTTCGTTGACTCTGGTAAGCATGGCAGTGCACCAAGTGACGCGATCCGTTTTTTGAGCTTCAGTCAAATTGTGTGGGATCCACAGAGAGCACAGCTTTTTCACACCCAAATGTTTGTATAGTATTGATTGTATTGACCCATGCCCATGCTACACCCCGGACACTCTATACAACGTCGAAAGTTATTTACCTACTGCTACATACAGCAAGGCGCTATCTGCACACGCGCAAATGTGTGCGTGAAGTGGCAGGGTTACCCATACTTTCTCGTACTATTACGTTACGTGTTCAGAGGGGCAACGTAGCGAAAATTATAACGCGAATCTGTTATCTATATGTAATTCTATTAATAGAATCCTAATAATTACACATTGTCATTACGCATTTATATCGTAATAATTAGGCATATTCACTACATAATATTTATCGGCAATACAAATTGAAAATTCGAGAACCCTTGTCTACTAGGTCACAAACTTACGGCGTCTCGTAATTTCTTGTAATAAGTCTGTATTATATATATTACTCTGCACTAAATAAATGAAGAAAACAATAACTGAATGAGTCTCAGACATAAGTTTTTATTACTTACTTCGTTTTATCTTCCGGAAAACGAAAGAAACTCCTCTCTTTATGCCGTTTAGATAACGATAAACACTATACAAATCACGACCATTATAAATAGTAACGTACGATGATGTTATATATTAACGTACAAGTTTCGTAATAAATAAATGAAAACTATATTCAAATATCAAAGGAGTCTTAGCGCGAAAACGGCTGGTCGACAGCATTGTTGTCGTTCTGTCACTGTGACCGTCAATGTGCGGGGTGTGGTGCGGTATTTAGATACCGGCCAGAGCCAGAGAGGGGCGGAGAGTGTCCATTCTCGTTATTTTTTTGTTCTCTGCCCATGTCTAAAGATGCCCGAATCTCATGTTAAGTCACATGTCTGTCTGTTTTGATCATACAGCGCACAGCATCGATGTTTTTGTTGTTCGCAGCAGTGGACGGGCGACCATCATAAAATTCGTCACTGAGATTCACACGACCGCGTTTGAATTCTGCGAACCAGCTATAAATAGTCGTCTTGCATGGTGCTTCATCGCCAAAAGCAGTTTGAAGCCGAGCGAAGCTCCGTTGAGCTGTTAAATTACACTTAAAGTCGTAGAAAATCATACTGCGAAAATTTTCACGTCTTAAATCCGTGGTGATGTAGACAACCAATCTCTAAAATGACGTCAGAATGTAAAAACAAGTGACAATCAGATGAAACAAACTGTACTCTACAGCCAAGGAGTTCCATTTTCAAATGTTGTAATTACTTTGTAAATATTATTTATGTAAGTGGCCAGTTCCGGAAACTTAAAGTGCGCCATATGTAGGGTCTTTCAACAAGAACTTTGTTTTCTAAAACAAAATAAAACAAAAAATTTAGATGAAGATGATTCAAATTTTTATTGTATTACAAAGAGAAAAGTTCGGCAATTATGAATGAAAAATGATATCTGGCAAATGTCCACCACGACCACGCTGACAGAAGTCGATTCTTTCATCAAAATTTTTAATCACTTTTTGGCAAAATGTCGGGTCTATTTCGGCTATCACATCACGGATTTTGAGTTTTAACGCTGTAGTCGATTCGATTGGCTCCGTATAGACTCTGTCCTTAAGATAGCCCCACAAAAAATA